TCTCCACTTTCTAACCAATTACCCCTTTTCACCTTTACTTTCTACCTCCGACACATCTTCATCCACCTGTAACTCTTCTTCCAATATTTGTCCCCAGTCTCTTCTCTTTCCATTGTTATTTCTGTTTACATGCCTCTAACAAATACTCCCATTCTATTTTGTACTCACCCTTTTTTATATATCTTTCTCTTCTATACAATACCAACTTCACTTCAAGTTATTAACTACCCTCTATCCTTCAATTCATTTTTATTTAATCCTGATTCCATAAACCAATCAGATTGCGACAAAAAGGATTATTGTTTCAAAGATCTGTCTTTTAGAGAGTGTCAAGATATTTACTTATTCTTACGAAAAACTAGAATTTTGGAAATATTATCCTCTAACTCTTTTAATTTTTAGCCTAAACAGAAGTGCGGAGAATTCACTTTTTTCGCTTAACTACAAAACAACAATATTATACATTTTTAACGAAGTTCATAGCGTAACGTTAGTTGAAAATTTAAGGATGTCAAAAAACACCTTATTTAATTGAGTAAATAGCCAGTACTTATGAAAATTCATCGTAAGATAAGTTATACAGATCTTTAAAATACCTGAAACTCGTTCTTTTGCATGGCATTTTACTAATTTTAGTGTCAATTGCAATTTTCTTTAGATTTCTTTAGAGATCAATAATAAAATCAAAGACACGATTATGCCACAGCAATAAAAAATCACAAATGAAAGTCAAAAGTACTTTATCGTTCCCGATCGGCGAAAGCAAATTACTATTTGACATTATAACCTTCAAAGTGATGGGAGGTAAGTTTGCATTCACACGTCTAAATCTCAGTGTAAGAGATACTACTAAAATTATTCTTTTAACTCTCCCTTATCTGTTTTTCCATTAACACCTGAAAGCATATGGTGTGACATAGGGGCGGGGTTTTGAGACGGGCAAGGCAGAAATGTGTGCAACCTGTTAAAAAATACTAGTTTAATATATATTAGGAATAAAAATTTTAAATATTTCCTACAGTTTGTGTATGAGCCATCTGGACATATATGCCGGACGTTTCATTATTGTGGTACGATCGCATTTTCAGTTCGAATAATTCAGAAGTCCGCGCGCAGAGTGTCGTTTCCTCTCTTCCTTCATCATATGAAGTGTTTTTTCGTTGTTGTTTTTTGTTACATTAATTTGCTACAACGTGCTTTCGTAGCCCTCCTACTGGCATCGAACGAACATCGAACGAAGATCCCCGAGGTTCCCAGACCGTCACCTATCCAACAACTCGCAATGTCTCGAAATGCATAACCTCCACGACTTAACGGAGCGTAGTTAAGTAATTCGTCTAGCGACGCCGGCTGGCAGGGCTCTCAGCCGGCGGTTTCTAGGCGGGGACATTCGGAGGTTGCCTGGCTTCGCGCCGTCTCGTACCGAGAAAGGATCACGGATTGGGAGCAGAACAGTCGTACGCTCAGTCCACTTTCGACACATGTGCTTTCTGGTTAGACGGGCGCATTATGAAAGTTCTCTCACGAAAAACTTCCATTTCCAGCCACATTACCCGCGTGACGCTGATTTACTTCTCAAGCTAACAAGTGGAGAATGTGATTGTATTTTACAATGTATTCATTTCTTAAAATTAATATGTGTGTGTTACTTCATACTTCTAGTTTTGAATACTATGTTTTTACAATAATTTTGTGAGATGCAGTGATCGGATTACTACCAGAATTTTCTCCATTTATTATAGTAAATAAACGACCAACGATATACATAAACGGCCAATCAAGGACAACTGGTGATTTATGCTATATTTTGTACGGTTGTACATAGTGCTGGCAACAAAAATGTAAAAAAATTACGCTCCGTGATACACATTCGCCAGAACGTATTTCAGGGAGAAGCCATTTAGAGCTCGGACTCCCCACCATAAGCTTCGTAAAGAAAAACTATACTTTTTATACAAAACATTTTATTCTTGAAATGACGTCCTCTCCGGTTTATTGGAAATGCTCTTTTTGAATATGATGCGATCAGTATCTTTGTTTGTTTTCAACAAACTGAGTAAAATTTCAAACAATATATTTAAACCATAAATAAATTTAATTAAAAATATTATTTGAAGAAACGGCGAAGGCACGAACAATTTGAGCAATAGTTTAGCGACAAACATATGAAATCTATAATATGGCCGTTTACCAAACGCCTTCATCCATCAAACATCAAGCAGCAGTTCTATCTAAGAGAATTATTAGTCCCGGTGGCTGGTGCAACAACATAGACAACATTAATTCTCTATGAAATATAATCATTCAAAATTAATTGTACTCCTTGTTGAGATCGTTAAGTATCATGTCTGGTCTTTAACAACATTGGGGGTTAACAACATTGGGGTGTAAAAATGGTTTCAGCATAGAAATGCTAATTCCTCCCCCCTTCAAGTCACGTGCACTTACCCACGGGAAAATATGGCTGGGCCTCGGAGGGTATAGTTTGCGTGCTCCAAAGATGGCCGATTCGCGACAAAAAAATGAATACCACAACTTATATTTTTTACTATAAACCCAAAAACAAATATTTTAGGTTGTGCCTGTGTCAAGAACTAGTAAACGGTTCTCATGAATGGCGATAATTTTTATATATCACACATCAATTCAAATATAACACAGTTTATATATACGCAATGATAATAATACACGGAGTTAATTATAATTCTAAAACGAATTTTCTGTGTTCACAGGGTGCATACAGACAGAAAACAACAAACGGATCGCATATCAGCACTGTTCTTGACACACATATGATCTTACCGATCCTAGTTTCCAATTTTCCTTCCCTCACAGAGTACTAATCTCTTCAAAAACTTTCGAGTCCGTTTCATCTGGGTTTTGTTTCGGCACTGTGATTTACCGTCATTCAAATTGCTAATCTGACTGCCAGTGTTGTCCACTATTTTCAACTAAGGCTTAACTACCTACTCCTGCAAATACATTGTTTCTTGGACATTTAATATTATTATTAATTAATTATTATTTATTATTAATTAATTATTATTAAATTATAATGAATTTTTTCTATATTAGAACGAAATCTTTAATCTAGAAAAAGACTGTGACATTTCTCATCTTAGTTACGGTTATACATGTAAATTAATTAAATATTGGCATTTTAAAACAAATAATAACAATATTTACTAATTATATTAGTAATAATACAAATATTTTATATAGATACATTTAGAGCAAATATTTTTTTCAACTGTGATATTGAAGAATATAATATGAACTTTTTGAAAAATAATTTTTGCTAGAAATGAAAACCAGTTGTACATTTTGTAAATTATATTTCGTGTTTGCTGATCATCACGCTAACAGTGAAATGCAAAGTATGGATTTGAGCCCTACTGTTTGTTACAAGCGAAAGCAATAGTGATTCTCTAGAGGTGAGCCTGCTTTTTTCAAAACAACGTGTTGCGGAGAACTCAGGTCTAATATGTGATAATAAGTGTTGTTCTGAAAGAAAGTGAGTGCAAGAAATTTTGTTAATTATGGGAAAAAATACATTGTAATGAGAACGTCGGAAGTGAATACCTACATCTAGTTTTCACATTTACGACAAGGAAGCGTGAAATATGTATAAAGTATTTGAATTCTTATTTACATTATTTGTTTTGAAAAAAAATATCCCAGAAAATTAATACTAGTAATTAAGAGAATTTTATAATAATATTGTGGTATAAGCTTTGGAAACGAAATTCGAATGGCAATTAAAAAACAAATTATCGTCACACCAAAAATGATTTTTCTAAGAAAATTCACTATTTCATATTTCCATACACGGAAATTTCATGATTCATATTATGAAATACACTGCATTCAGTTATGATAATACCAAATGTAATAAAAATCCATCATGGCAAACGCCCAAGAATAGCGAATACACAATTAGATAAATCACAATCATGCCTATACCTTCAATGCACATTCCCGTATGATAGCATTCCATACATCATATAATACAACGCAAAAACGAACTCTAGCAGAAAAAGTTCGGTAGAAAAAAATCAACGTTTCCGTGTTATCGGAAATCCTCAATCTTGATGTAAAGAATGGGTGAAAACCAGAACGGTATAAGTGGTATTTCATAAATTCAGAGAAATCTGAATATTTAAGACAATATTACTGTAAATTCTTGGTCTCTTCGCTTTGTTTCATCACTAAAACGACGGTATTTCAATTGTTCATTAGAACCATGAAAATACTTTGCCACTGTAATAGAATCTAAAATAAACACTTTTTTTACCGAATTCAGAAAATGTCATTTATACCGTTCTGGTTTTCACTCATTTGAATTATCTATAATCGGAAAGACGAGAAACAATATAGAGCAGACCATTTTTAAGCCCAAGATAAACTCAAACCATGAAATAGAACATAATTATCTGAAATAAAATTTAGGAAAATCCGTTAGTGATGGAAAATCTTAATGTCGAAGTAGGAGTGCATTTCAGATCTTCAAAATTTTTAATCATAAAATGACGCGGGAACCCTTCATCTTACAGTCAACTTCTGCTTTTCTTTTCAAATAAAAAAAAATTATAGAGAGACTTTAAATGATTGTGCGAGACGCACGTACATTGTAGCCCAGATTTGGTGCAATAACGATCATCATTGCGTACAAGGAGAAATTACTATATTTTGTGGATCTAGTTTTTCTTCTCGTAGCTTCCGCCACACCTCTTAGCCGCCGAACGATCCGCCAATCTGAGAGATCCGCAGGACAGAGCAAAGGGAAGTGGCGAAGCAGTCGTCGGTTCACGTCCGGCTCGCGCCCCTCCGCTTCGTGCGAAACCCGTCTGGGCAGTTTGTCATTGCACTGCCCGAGCCGGAAAAGCTTAAGGTGGGACGAGGCTTCAACTCTAATATCATAGTAAGTATGTTTGATGAAACGGGTAAAACGTATATCAATGAAAAATATTTAAGATAGGGTATTTTTCTGATTTTTATTATGTATTGTAATGTGTGTTCTTTTTTAGAATACATTTGTAAATGTTGGTGGATTTGCAGAGGAAATTGTGCAATAAAGACGTATTATTATTATTATTATTATTATTATTATTATTATTATTATTATTATTTTCGTAATGGAATGCTAGAAATCCTATAAAAGGAACGTTAAATTCGTCGATTTTTTTAAATTTTTATTCTCCTTCATTTCAATTAGAGCTCGCACGACCCGACGACATATTTTTAATCCCTGTCTCGACCTTCATATGTCTCTGCTATTTGAACGACCACTTTTGTTAAATTCCATTATTTCTACATGTTATAGACATATTTCATATACTTCATTATCTTTGATATAGGCCTTTCACTATCACTCAGTTACAACTGTTAAATTTCGAAATTAAATATAAAGCATAATGTTTCACTCAATTATAATGTACATTTCATCATCTCGTTACAAATAGAGCTTTCTTTACAAATTATTCTAATTATACGTGTACTCTTCGTAAAAAAAGCAGTGACGTAACGTGTGATCATTTCGTAGCGAGAATTTTCATGCCACATGCGGGAAGACGTCCCTCGCGATCTCCACCGGCGGAACCGGTGACTGCCTCGCGGGCTGGTCGGAGCCCGACTGCTCTCGCCACGTTGTCTAACGTTCGTCAGCTGTTTGACAGGAAAATAGTTGCTGCCGTCCGAGCGAGCGAACGCGGCGAGATTGTGAAGAAACGATTCCCGGTGTGCCTCGTCATTCTCCTTATAGAGCGAGGAGAGAGCGACGACTTGCCTGGAAGCATCTTGCAATCGTTGTAACCGGGTGGTCGCTGCTCGGCCAGGACGGAACCAGAAGATAATTTTCCAAAACGCTTACACTGTAAAAAAGAAGAAAATCCAGAATTATTAATCTAAAGACCAGCCAAAGTAAGATAATCTGTTTCTGCTATCTCAACAGTACAAGTCTAGCTCGAAGTTACTAAACGTGTGTTTACAAGAACACGTCCTTGTCATGAAAAATATTAAATCTTCTCAATGTGTAAAATCCTTAGTTAAGTTACTAACAAGTATATTCAAACAGTAGTTTTTCTTATCTTGTACACTTCCATACAGTTCAAAGGAATGCAATTCTGCAGAGAAAAATGGTGATTTTTCAACAAAAAACTAATTTTGTGCGTTCTTTTTTTACCGAAAAGCCTCTTTTACGAATTCGCCAAAGAGTCTGCGTGTCAACAACGCTAGCACGTAAACCGTACACTGGAGTTTTACAAAATTTGATACTCCGTGATAAAACTGGCTGATGTTGTAACTCCTTAAATACTAAATGGATATTTTAATTTTCGAGGTGTATTTTACATGAAATTATATTTTCGAAACTTTATCTAAAATGACTCCCAGTTCTTCCTTAAATGTTTTGTTTGAACAGACCAAAGTACGCTTGGTCTACCACCATTTGCGTTCAAAGATTTTTCTCTGAAATAAAAAATCGAACCAGTACTTTGACTCTGGTTTCGAAGAAATTAACTCGGTGGGCAAAACGTCGCTTGCGGAACCAAAGTAAGTAGGTTAGCCCGCCAGGCCTGCCAAATATTTTTTCGGGTTGATAACACTTTTGCTGATTCAACTAGTATTAAAATATTATGTAACATTTACAAATAATTTAAGAATACACATGATGCTGTCGTAGCACCACTTGTTTAAGAGGAAACGAGTAAGTGTCCTTATTATATAAATAATAAAATAATATTGAGAGCTCTACAAGAAGAGAATGACGTGTCACAAATATATTAGTCTACTACATCAATAACATTGAAGGCACCCTTGAAATTATTTCTATGACAAAGACAGCTCCGAGGGGGCGAGTACATAGATACCATACTCGAGAGTCCAAAGCCAACAATTTATTTAACTTAATTTATTAAAACAATTATCACATATTGATTGCATCATATTCCAAGAAGTATTCCCATCACAAATACTAAATACATATTATTTTTTTTTAAAACGTGATGAAGGCTTCAACCAAAATTTGTTCTCCAGAAATGTTTTCTGGCTATGCCCCTAATCTAATATATTAATGAAACAAATGACACGGTTCGGTTAATTCAATAGGAATATAATATGTACACATTATACTACGTTTATAGTTTTGAAGAGAGTAATATTCTCCTTCGTGTAAGGTATACTCAGAAATGATTCTTTCATCCTCGTGGATTTTTCATCTTTTATTTTTCTTCTATGGCACATACCATTACTACTCAATTCCATAGGGGCAGCTGAGATACTGTTATTATTAAATGTCCAGTTGGATGAATGACAATCTAATCTCTAAAAAAATAAATAATTGATTAAAATAATTAGCCTTTAAACATGTTTCGGGATTTTTTTCCATCATATTTTTCATTAAAACAGTTTGAAATGAAGTTATTGGAAAAACATTGTATTTATAAGTTAGAAAACATGAAAGTAATTGAAAAACAAAATAAAATTTCAAGGTACCCAACTCACCCAAGTAGTATGACTTAAAAACATATTTCATGGAAAAACTAAAGGAAGTTTACTGTTTTTTCTGATACGCGTTTAATGCCAGGTACTTGAGTAAGTAGATACCCTACAAGGAAAAGAAGCAAAAGCTCTTCACTATTACGCGACACATTAAAAGTAATAAATCATTTTTTTTTGTTCTTTCTGCTGAAGCTGTTGGACCATTTGTGCCTTGGCCTAACCTCTGCGAATTCAATACTGCCGGTATATTTCGCACAGCACAGAATTATTTTTACCATAAGACATGAAAGTTTCATCAGAAGGCAACATTGAATTACAATGTGCAGTTACTATCACAAAAAGTGCTACAGAGTAGCACTCTCTTACATCATAAAATATGAGAGATTTAGTACAATGAAATACATAATTACCCAGTGCAATTTGTATCAGGTATAACGCATTGCATTTGCATGTCTGTATTACAGTTTTAAACCATGATAGGAAAACGTTCAAACGAGACATTGCAGTCTCGTATGTACTTTGTTTCCCTCTGAATTTTATTCCACTGTCATTATTTATACAGATTATGTGTTCAATTTAACATATTTTTAGGCTGTGGTTGTTTCAAATATAATTAAGAACACTTCGTGACACATGTTAGGAGTCTTAATGTTTTCATAAAAAATTAAACAATTTCCAGTAATTACATTTATTATTTATTATTATATCACATATGTTATTACATTAAGATTATTAAATTTATTCTACTCAATTACGATTTTGGAAGGGGAGACGTACTTAAAGATGAGTGCGTGTTTCATTTCTATTTCTATGATTTTCACGCAATTTCGTTTTTCGTTACTTGAAATATTTAAAACTTAAAATTTGTATGTTTCTGGCAAAAATACTTAATCCGAGCTAGAACAAATTTTAGATATAAAGTAAATTTTAGAAATTGTATTGCACACCTAGACAAAATTCAACAACTAAAAATACACATTTTTTTTAAACGAGGCAATTTTTCATAGAAGTTCGCAACAACAATTTCATACACCTATTTTAGCAGTTCATTTTCATTACTTGAAATTCTAACAGCTTTTTTGAGACATTTGGACTTGTTTCACTTTTTAATGGACAAACATTAGACCTATAATTGCTAAATCAACAAAAAAGGGCAGTTACTTCTTTTAGTGTAATTTACGTTGAATGATTAGATAATGGATTTGTACGAATATAGTTGTATTAAATATGAAATCTTCGTGTACAAAATAAATCAAATTTATTAGGAAATTTGGGCAAATAGTGAAACAAATATATTTCAAACCGTACTCAGTCGGTAGCTCAGAAATATTTATCTCTTTTAAGGAACGAAAATAAAATATATTAGTATCAAATACATAAACTCAACATTATTACACATTAAACCAGGCTGGAAACAAAAAATAGGTACCCTAGGTACAAAAATAATTCCTTGACGGAACTACCAAAAGACATCCGCAGTGTCGCACATTACAAATTACTTTACATTTTAGTACATAATGTAATATTCAAAACATTAAAAGCTAGTCGGGAACGTTTTAGTTGCAAAATTCTACTGGAGCAGAAAGAAAAATCAGTGTTTTATATTACTTCTCTGGGGTTTTAACACGTAGCAGAATGCGGGATTTGAGAAGTGCAATGAAGCCTCGTGAATCGCTAGGGCAACACTTTAAAGATATTATTAAACAATAAATAATAGCTTGATTTTAATTTTTATAAAATCCTATTCTAGAAAAAACAAGATACGCACGTCAGAACTTGAAAATCAGCTAGTTCCCAGTATGCATCCAAGGGTAGCTGCCTGGTTGGTTCATCAAAATTTCTTCTTAATCATAGTCAAGACTCGGCTGCTCCACAGGGCGGACACAGTTTTTTCTCTAGAACTTGATTCTTTGATTTATACAAAGACTGGCAGGCTTGATCAGAAATGTTTAATTTCCGTTGTCCAAGTCTTTCCCCTTTCGATTTCTAGCCATTTCTTTTTTCTTTCGTTTCTTCTGCAATAGGCTCTTGCTCGTAATCTTCAGCAACTGCAACGGTGTGAGAATTATTGTAGGCTGTATCTTCAATGATAAGTCGATCAGCCTGAACGTGGGTTCCATTTTCTTTTACAGTCTCAGAATTAGAACTGTTGCTGTCGTTTGATTAACTGCTGGTGTTGCTGGTGGGTAATAATAATGAAGAAGAAAAAAGTAGCAACTTAAATAGCCTTGAGTGTTGGGTAGAGAACAAAATTTTAATACGCATCAGAATCCTCAAAATCACTTTCGTCATTTTATATTTGTGAAATATATTAGTCGATTTGATTATTTTCTTTAAGGGGCCATTGGTGTTTGAGCAAGTAAGACAGCTGGCATTCCCTTATCCTTTTTCTATTAAACATTCACACTCATTCTGAAACAACAGAAAACATCAAAATACTCTCTATAACCCTCAAAAGTGCACTAACTCAAAAATAATAACATACAACTCAACTAGCAAATATTTCTGCAAACCAGTAATAAAAAATATTTTTCTACATTAAATACGCAATACGGCATCTTATTCAAAGTGTATTTTCTGCTTTGTTTTAAGAAATAATGTGAATAAAATACCTATTCAACAAAACTAATGTAACTACAAATGTCAAAACAGAAGTCAATATATAGCTCACATTTTCAAACACCTGAATAATAAAACTCAAAATCGGATTGTGAACACTCGTAAATTGATCAAAGTGACCTATAATAGGAACTCTAATAATAATTAAAATAATAATAATAATAATAATAATAATAATAATAATAATAATAATAACAATAATAATAACAATAATAATATCAATAATAATAATAATTGTCTAATAATAGGTCTAAACAAATTCAGAGTTTTGTCAACGAAACTGATACAACCCAAAAAAAAAACCGTTTTGCAATACTAACGTATGTGTACTCCGCTTGATGTTGAAACACAGTCTAAGATAGCGTCACCGTCAAGTGTTTTGGAGAAGGGGTCAAGCGCTCATTCATTCAACAAAAGGTTTGTTTTATTTCATATTTACTCAGCGAATAATGTACAAATTCAGCATTTTTTTACTACATCGTATGTTTGGCGGTCTTAATATTAAACGTAAATTCTAAGCTTACAATTATAACTTCTACAAAAGGTAACTAAATGCCATTTTTCAGAGAATATTCAAAATATGGGTATAGCGATTTTACTCGTTTATGCGACTTCGTTTGTAGAATCCCAATAAACGATTAACTAATAAATCTTAATTTTTGAGTTGATACTGTGCGATATATATTTATTTCCATGTTTTTCAACTTCAGTTAAAAAATACAAATACTTATTTTCATGTAACAAATATTAGATAATACATATCACAACTCGTCAAATCGATCGAGGCAATCAAAGCCTTTGAAGATCATACAATATGCCCTAAATTATTCGTGTTTCTTAAAAAAGCAAGAATCTTTTCGAGTTTTCTTTAATTCTGTCAGTTGCAAAACAGCGTCCCAAGCCTTTTTGGCGTTGAACGCGAGGAGTCATTCTCCTTGAACGTACTAATTCAAGTAAAGTCAAATCAGTCATTGCCTTTTAACTATCGGTCCGAGGCTCACCGACGTTATTATCAAGGTTCCCAGACGGTCACCCATCCCATAACCCGCAGTTACTCGAGCTCTCTAACGTCCGTGATTTCACCAAGCTTTGTTAAGAAATTTGGCCATCAGAGCAGTTTTTGAAGTAAACATTAACTTGTTTTCTCTGTTCTTTATTAACTTCATTGATTTTTAGAAAATTTTGCTTAAATGGTCGTCCTTTCGCTCAAAAGTTTGGATCAGTATATTTCTCCGAGATCAGTAAGTAAACTCACATAATATTTTGAATAAACAATTATTTAGTAATTGAGATTTTATGAAGTTAATCATTTCGACTACCTCGTCAAGAGCAATTTTATAACTGACGGACAATATTTTGCAGCAAGTGCCTGTATATGGATGAGAGAGTATATACTAGAACAGTTTTCGGCGATACCTTTAATAAAGGAACATAGTAGCTGGTTGGACGAAAAAAGTTTGGAATTTTTTTCGGGTTCCATTTTAATAAATGCTAGCTAATTTTAATAGTTAACTATAAAGCATTTGTTTAGACACCATGCAAAATTTGCATACAAGTTTGCAAATTCAATGTATTTAAGTGGTTTTAGAAAAATCTCACAAGTGAACCGCTGTGTACTGCGGGTAGTAAACATGTTAGTTTCTTCGCCTACAGCCTACTTCTTTTTTGTAACGTAACGCTGAAGGTTTAAATTTTGAAACACGAAAACGCCGTGTTGCCCATATAAGAGATTCACATTCTAATACAAAAGCTACTGAAAGTTGTATGTCCTCTTCTGTAAATTTGGATATTTTTTCTCTTTCAACTTTCGTGGCATCTAAATCAATGATTTCATTTATGGTTGTCTCACAGGTCACTTAATAAAATATTTAATGTGAGATCATTGATTACGAATTTAGTAGTGCATAGTGGGACAGTTCCACTGTGTACCTTTGCACATATTATTAAGTATTAATCCACCACAAGAAATATAAGAATTTAAAACCACAGATAACAATTGGGTTATATACCTAAATAGTTATTTCAACTACATTACAAATTAAAAATCCAGATTCATCTTGACTCATCTATACTCATCTTTTGTAATTTGATTCAGAAACTGTAACAAAAATTACTTTTGACTTCAAACGAGACCAGCAGAAGCATAACACGTCTTCACCTTGAAAACTAACAGCTATGCTGGACTCATTGGTTCAGTTATATTG